CTAAAAGTTTGCATTGTTTGAGAGCACAGAAACTTTGACAACAGTCACTATATTTTGACACGTTCAATAGAAAAGGGAACTTTTATAATCTGGATCAAAATCCATGATGGGGGAAAAAAAAAAAAAAAAAAGAAGACTCCAGAATGTAAATATTTGACATGATAGGAATTCCTAGGGATTTTGTCTTACTTAACTGTATACAAGACTCCAAGCTGAATGCATCCTCAAACCAAAAACTGTTGGTTTTTTTCCAAATTTTGTGGCTGCTTTTCTGTCTCAAATAGTACAGCCCAGCACCACCAGATCCAACCATCCTTTCAAGCTGGAAAAGTTCAGTTCCAGACCTAAACACTGTAGTTATGGCACATCTCTATTCCAAGAGCAGCATAAAGTAGCTGTCACTCATATGTCACTGTTATTCAGCCCCTAGTGAAGCACATCAGATCAGGTCCTCTCTCCATCTTAAGAGAGACACAAATTAACTGCTTTATTAAGTTCTTGGGCAGGAAGAAGGAATTATTCACAATTCATCTTCAAGACAAAAATATTCATAGGAAAATCTAAAAAGAATCCCCAACTGTGATCTCTTCCACTCACTGACTATCCAGTCTGTCTGTATCAATTAACCACAAGCATTTCCAGAGAGCTCCTCAGTACAGCAGCTAGACAAAACAGTATATTTTTCCAGCTTTCCAGTGTGTGCTGCATCCAAAGTACTGGCCTAAAGTCTCCAAGCAATGGGCTGCACAAGCACTCAGGCAATTAGGAATGCCAGCAGCTGGGAATGGTGGCTTATGACTGCAATCAACAGAAACTGGACCAAGCCTTGAGACAATAGCAGTAGGTAATACTGACTCATTTGTGTATGGAATGCACATGTATTTCAGGAAAATCAGACCCATAGCATCAAATTATAAAAGGGCAGAACTGGAAATTCTTTGCAAACTAAATTGTTGGTAAAATTAAGAAGAAAGATTCCTAAGCAATGGCCAAGCCTGCAAATGAGAGCCTGCCAGTGGGGTTGTGCTACATAACTGCTGTACACTCCACATTCTGACCCACTTCTCGCTTGTAAAGGAAAAAAATACCAACCAGGGCAGAAATACTGTAATAGGCCTTGTTGGAAACAAATCTTGTTTGTGTTCCTCCAAGGAGATTGACTTTGGAAAAAAGCAAAGTTGAGTCACACATCTGTTTCTTTATAAATGGAGGAGAAAATGCATACATTACAATTTGCACCAAATTAGTTACTGTGGATCAACTCTTCTCCAGAGCTAGATTGCTTAATCTGTTACATGTTATTGCCTCCTATGGCCAGAATTTATTATTCTCATTTATATTTCTAATGTTTCAGTTAGTCACCCATTCACAGGGATAAGATCAATGACTGAAGTCATGGAGCATTACACATTTCTTCATTTAGAGATGACATAAAACCTTTGATATTTTCTAAGGAATGTTCAGACTGGAATGAAATGGATGATAAGAAACATAACAATATATTCTGCATAAGTGAATTACACTTATCCACACAGACTTCATTAACAGAGCAAAATCGTGTTTCTTTAGCATTTTTCTCTCCTGAGAGCACACAGAATGGATTTTGGGTTAGCCACTAAAGGATTAAGCATTCTTTTAAAAGCAAAGAAAATGTTTGTATTTAGCAAATCAATTTTCCTTGCATTTGTGTGGAGATTAAGTTAGTGTTGCTTTTAATTCATGCAGAACAAGGCATCCTCAAGAGAACAATTCTGTGGGAAGAGATACATTTTATATCATAATTTTATAAAGTTATAAAACTTAAATATAACCACTGAGGGTGGAAAACTGTATCACAGCAGAAGTTTGCATTTTGCCTATCTGCAAACTGAACCCAGTTCAGGACAGGATTCAAGCACATGCTTAAGTCTAATTGGTTTCAGTGAAACTTAAGCATGTGCTTGAAATTAAGCCAGTGCATGAGCATTTTCCCTGATTAGTAATGCCTCCCTGAACTGAAGCCAGAATGTGGTCAAGTGGTTAAGGGAGGATGCCAACGCTTTCACTGGAGTACTGTTTGGCTTCTGGAAAAGTATTTTTTATTATTCATCCCTTCTCTTATTTGTCTGTAAAATGGGTATAATTCTATATAGCTAGTTCACCAGTCTGATGCTCAGTTCATGCTATTTGCAAAATGCTTCAAGTTCTCAGGTATGCTTTTAAGGATGGCACACTAAATGTATTACATTAGTTATCACTGTAAACAGTAAACACTCCATTTGGAGAATTAAGGGATACAAAGGAGAAATGGGATATGGAATATTCTCAAATGGATTGAACTAAGCAAGACATGTAAGTTGGCATAGAGAACTTGAGATGACAAATAAAAGCACTGGAGGTGGATGTGAGTGCATCTTCTCAAGAGAGCTCCTACAGTTCATGTTAATCAAAACACCATTCTCTTCAATTAAACAACAGAGCTTTCCTTACCACATACTTGCAATTCTGACAGATACAAGAACTATTTCACTTTGTGTCTCTCCCTCCCACCTCCCAAAACATGTTGTGAAAACACAGAAAGAGAAGTCATACACTTTTTCCACACTTAAAACGGTCAATGTCCAAAGATTT